TCAGAATAAGCTGAGTCAGCTAGAATATAGACATTTAGACAACTTTTAAGAAGGCTATCTTCGACTCTATTGGCTTAACATGGGGATATCATCATATCGACTTTTCGAGACTTCAAACCGCTATAACTATTTAACCAGAAGTTAGATTGAAATTTGATTTGCAGATTCGGATTCCTGAGAAAATTCTACCCTTAATTCATAACTCATACGTTAAATTTGGAGAAACTTTCATGTTGACCTACTTTTCGGACACTATATCTCAAAAGTGGGTCAAAATACTTTCTGACGGCAAAAGGCTAACAATATTAGCACACTCTTTGCTACCTGTATACAAAATTTTGAAGCAAATCCTTAAAGTGTAATGTCAGAATCGCAAAAATAAGGAAAAACTATGAATTTGACCTAGATTTTGACCAAGGCATTTTTGCGTCCAAATTTTAAAGCTAGATAGCCTTCGAGGTCCCCTCCTTTTATAGGCTTTCAGAATATTAAGCTGTACTCAGTCTATATCTGGTATTTTACACTTCAAAAAATCCTTTTTCTCATTGACATAACATGGGGCACCAAATTTAGCGATTTTTGAGCTTTCAAAACGCCATAACTTCCGGAACTGGAGTCGGATCGAAATTTGGTTTGCAGATTCGGATTCCTGACAAAATTCTACCCCTAATTCATAACTCATACGTTAAATTTGGAAATTTTTTATTTTGACCTACTTTTTGGACACGCCATAACTTCCGAACCGAAAGTCGGATTGAAATTTGGTTTACAGATTCGGATTCCTGGGAAAATTCTACTCTTAATTCATAGCTCATATATTAAATTTGGAGAACTTTTTATTTTGACCTACTTTTCGGACACCATATCTCAAAAGTGGGTCAAAATACTTTCTGACGGCAAAAGGCTAACACTATTAGCACACTCTTTGCTACCTGTATACAAAATTTTGAAGTAAATTATTAAAGTGTAGTGTCAGAATCGTAAAAATAAGGAAAAACTATGAATTTGACCTAGATTTTGACCTAGGCATTTTGGTGTCCAAATTTTGAAGCTATGTAGCTTTTGAGGTCCCGTTCTTTTATAAGCATTCATTATGTTAAGCTGTACTCAGTCTATATCTTGTATTTTACACTTCGAAAAAGTCTTTTTTCCCATTGACTTAACATAGGCACCAAATTTAGCGATTTTTGAGCTTTCAAAACGCTATAACTTCCGATCCAAATTTGGTTTGCAGATTCGGATTCCTGAGATCATTCTACACTTATTTCATAACTCACATGTTGAATTTGGAGAACTTTCTGTTCTGACCTACTTTCCGGACGCCATATCTCAAAATCGGTAAGAGTAATCAAAATTCTGATGTCATATCTTTGATTCGCCTTTTTCTAAGCTACACGATGAAAAAAAGATGAAGGAGTTACGAAGAATATTGACGAAGATATGATGAAGAATGTTGAAAATGTAAGATTTGACCTAGTTCTTGACGTTTGACCTAGATAAAAATTTGACCTAATTTCCCAGAAAGCCAGATACATTCCCTAGTCAACCATGTAGGTTGGATTAAGTAAGATGTTATAGTTCGAGAGAAAATCTGTTAGGAGGAAGAAAGAAAGAATAACTAGACATGTAAATTGAACAAGTTCAATTTAAGACTCCAGATTTAAAACTTTTTTTAAGCTGAGTCATCCAAAATACTGTAAGCTGAGCCATTCAGAATAAGCTGAGTCATCTAGAATACAGCCATTTAGACAACTCTTAAGTAAGTTATCTTCGTCTCCATTGGCTTAACATGGGGATATCATAATATCGACTTTTCGAGACTTCAAACAACTATAACTATCTAACCAGAATTTGGTTCGAAATTTGGTTTGCAGATTCGAATTTCTGAGAAAATTCTACGTTTGTGTCATAACTCATACATTAAATTTTGAGAACTTTTTGTGTTGACCTACTTTCTGGACGCCATTCCTCAAAATCGGTAAGAGTAATCAAAAAAGACAGTTACAATAATGAAAGGACTGTCTTTAAGCTACATGATGAAAGAAAGATAAAGGAATAACGACGAATAGTGACAAAGATAATTGACATAACATGGGATATCAAAATACCAATTTTTTAATTTTTCAAAACGCCATTACTTCCAAACCAAGCGTCGGATTGAAATTTGATTTGCAGATTCGGATTCCTGAGAAAATTCTACCCTTAATTCATAACTCATACGTTAAATTTGGAGAAACTTTCATGTTGACCTACTTTTCGGACACTATATCTCAAAAGTGGGTCAAAATACTTTCTGACGGCAAAAGGCTAACACTATTAGCACACTCTTTGCTACCTGTATCCAAAATTTTGAAGCAAATAATTAAAGTGTAGTGTCAGAATCGCAAAAATAAGTTAAAACTATAAATTTGACCTAGATTTTGACCTAGGCATTTTGGTGTCCAAATTGTGAAGCTAGCTAGCTTTTGAGGTCCCTTTCTTTTATAGGCTTTCATTATGTAAAGCTGTACTTAGTCTATATCTCGTATTTTACACTTCAAAAAAATCTTTTTCCCATTGCCATAACATGGGGCACCAAATTTAGCGATTTTTGAGCTTTCAAAACGACATAACTTCCGAACCAAAAGTTGGATTGAAATTTGGATTGCAGATTTGGATTCCTGAGAAAATTCTACCCTTAATTCATAACTCATACGTAAAATTTGGAGAACTTTTTAGTTTGACCTACTTTTCGGACACCATATCTCAAAAGTGGGTCAAAATACTTTCTGACGGCAAAAGGCTAACACTATTAGCACACTCTTGGCTACATGTATAAAAAATTTCGAACAATATAATTTATCTGTAGTGTCAGAATCGCAAAAATAAGGAAAAACTTTGAATTTGACCTAGATTTTGACCTAGGCATTTTGGTGTCCAAATTTTTATGAAAAGAAGGTCTTGTGGTCCCTTTCTTTTATGGGCTTCCATTATGTTTAGCTGTGCTTAGTCTATATCTCGTATTTTACACTTCAAAAAAATATTTTTTCCCGTTGAATTAACATGGGGCACCAAATTTAGCGATTTTTGAATTTTCAAAACGCCATAACTTCTGAACCGGAAGTCAGATCGAAATTTGGTTTTCAGATTCGGAATTCTGAGAAAATTTCCTATAAGACTGATATCCTGGACATTGGATTCGGAGAACTTTTTTTTGGACCTCGTTTTCGGACACTGATATCTCGAAATCGGTTTGAGATACCAAAAAACTAAATCGACCCTAGCTTTTCTACTTTTTTATGAGGAACACAATGAAAAAAACCCGGATCAAAAATATTGAAGGACGACCGAGATAATGGGAAAAAGTGACAAAGTACTGGATTTGACCTAGTTCTTGACCTTTGACCTAGATAGAAATTTGACCTAATTTCCCAGAAAGCCAGATACATTCCCTAGTTAACCATGTAGGTTGGATTAAGTAAGATGTTATAGTTGGAGAGAAAATCTGTTAGGAGGAAGAAAGAATAATAATAATAAGAAAACGGGCAAAAACAATAGACTCCAG